GATGAGTTTCAAAGTCAGCGATAGGACATCAGAAACCTTTGAACCTTCGAGTGAAACCTTTGCTTGTTCTTCGACGCAGTTCATTTCAAAAACATTTTTATTAAGTGTTAGATATTAATAATAATATATCACAATAACAACCCAAATGATATCACTCCTTTCTCTTATCCCCGTATTTATATTAAACTTATGAGCTTTGTACATATCGGACTGAAACCTATTCCTTAGTTACCGAAGAAACTGAAACTACTGGACATCTTGTCATAGAGTGAACTGAAGCTGGCAGAGTTCTTAGCCGCTGAAACAAACACTTTATGAAGGAATGCTCAACACTGACATACCTGATTGGGGGTTTGACAACAATTTGTTTTTGGAAACCTTGGAAGCTTGAAGCCGTTTGGTTATTTCCTCCGACTGCTGAAAACGAATGTTGTTAACATTGAATGTTTGGACGTTTGTACCGTTCTTTCCAATCTGGGTATGAGTGATATCCGAAGAGGACGATCTGGCTTCGGAAGAATATCTATGACTTGAGCATAAGACTGTGAATATTGAATATCCTTATTTGGCAGAACATCAAGAAGCAAGCACGAGTATAGAAGCTGTATAATTAGAATTGAGAACGGGAAAACATGGAGGAACGCCATACCTGCGATCGATGAGTAGCTAGTCTAACATTGGAAGCTAAATGGCTGGACAACAAGCTGATATCAAAAGGATCTATATGAGTTTCGATTTCATTTTGTAATTTTTTGAATCTGAATAATCGATGAGATTTCTCGGAAAACTTTTTCGTCCTTACTTGTCGTTGGGGAACATTGTCATGACAATTCGACAATCGAACAGTATCTGAACCCATGTTCTTTGAGCAACATTTGCCTTTGATGTTAAAGCTTCAAACACTCTGGCTATCAACTCAGAGATCTGGACAATAATAATACAAACTCAGTACTCTCCTCAAAGACACTCACTTCATTGCTGAGTCTTTTTCGAACTTGTCTTGATAAGAGATGAGCGACTGAAGTATCTCCAAACCGTCGGGAAAGAGCAAACAACGCAGAATGCAGCGGAGGTGATAAATTAATTGGAACGTCAACCATTCCCACATCAGGCATATCAATCTTTTCCCATTCCTGAAGAAATTTAAAATTATAATTATCTATGAATGGTGAATAGTGCTTACCGTAGCAAGATTCAATGCTAAAAACGGCGATGAGCAGCAATCTATGTAATCACGAAGGTTGTCTTCTGACAAATATTGATTGGCCGACAAACAAGCATACTTGCTGAAAAAAA